TCCTAGAAGATCCCTTTCTCTCAGCTAGTGGGGATTGATCTGGTTTCTGTGATTTTTGTGGGATGACACCTTTTACAGTCCAATTTTGTGAATTTTCTGATGTTATCATTCGAAGTTCCGATATATTTCGTCGAACAAAATATTGATGAGTATAATTCTCGAAAAACTTACATTAAATATGTCATGAATAATATTATAGAAAAATTTAAAGGCAAAACTTGTGTGGATTTGTTACTTTATGAATTTTTGGAATATAAGAAAACACTGAATATTTTCTCTACTAATTGGATCAATTTCTCGTAACACAAGAAGTAGGATTATAATGGAAGCTAATGAGATGGTGCGATATAAACGCCGAACTCAGACTGAATAAATACCAAACTGCGTCAATACACTTCAAATATGATATTCATACCAATCCCAGTGAAATATGTCGAATTATCATTATTTTTCTACAAACGTCGAGAAATAACAAGGTTCGCACATTGATAACAAATTGCGAAGTGACACTTTTTCTCAGTTTCCTACGCAACCATGATACCTTGCACAAAACAATGCGCGAAATAAAACAGTGCGCGAAGTACCTACTTTGCGCATTGTTAAGTAAAATATATGATATATTCATATTTCAATTTCATGGTCCTCAATCGAGCAGACATCCACTAGATCATTTATTTCTGGAAGTTCAACAATAACTTTGATTTATCTTCTGGAGCGCACGAAAGGAAATTCCTATCATGTTCGTGGAACATCGTGCGTACTTAGGGAGGATAGGAGAAGGCCTTTTTAGCCAGTTCAACACTATTTTCCACATCAAGCTGAGCGAATTTTCACTTGAGAAGTATATTTTTTTACGTTTCTAGAAAAAATGTTGTTTGCAACCCGAGCGCGAAATACTTTGGTCATCTCGACCTTCTTTCAACTCGGCTACGCCTCGATAAAAAAAAACAGATCTCGATCACGAGAGTAGCATTTCGTGCTCTAGATACAAAAATAACTATTTTTTATTTAGTCCGCGAAATGCTACTTTGGTGATCAAGAATAGTTATTTTTGTATCTACTGCGCAAAATGATACTTTGGTGATCGAGAACTGATGGTTTCAATGAGGCGCAGCCGTGAGTTAAAAAATAGTCAATATTACTAGAATATTTCGCGTACAAGTTGCAAAAAAAATTCTTTCACAATTGTCAAAGCATATTGTTTCATGAAGGGCACCGTGGCCGAGTTGTTTAAGCGCTCACATTCGCTGAAAATAGCCAACAGATTCTACGAATATCACATCACTACAAGTGACCTCATCCGGAATATCACTACACTTAGAAAACACCATAACATCCATAAAGAAACACGGACTGATATATGTTTCAACCGATGTGTTTAGGGAGCCTGATAATCTAAAGTCGGGAACCTCCCCGGATGTCCGAGCCACCAAGAAGACAAGAAGACAGCACTATCTCCCAAACATGAAAACAACATGAAAACAACTCGGGCAGAAGTGCCCATGTGGAAACACATGCGCACAACTGCCCGAGCCAAACGAGAAGGAGGTTTTTTAGTTTTTTCAATTTTATTTTTCCTCCACCACCTAAGAAACCCTTTCCACTCTGATAGCGCACGAGCAACTCCCCCACCCCTTTCGGTACCATCAGCGAAATTACCTATATAAAGGGCCTAGCCCTAGGAGAAAGATCACTGCGACGAACACCTCACATATCCTCTTATATTCCTTGGCTAACACCAGCCACCTCTGCGTCAGTGGAGGAACGTTCAGGCATACTCTATAATCTCTGTCACAGATATGCCAAATCTATTGAATGCTAATATGAGTGAAATATGTGATGTATTGTTTCAAAACACTGATGATGAATAAACGAATTTAATGCCTAGCTCGCTAGAGATAGCTGTTCACGATGCCCAGGTACTGGCGGATCGAATCCGGCTATCGGCTGAGTATTTTCCTCAAAAATGTGTGATTCATGGTTGTTATCCTGTCAATATATTGACGCTCTAGAAGTGGTTGGGATCGACTATAAGCTGTAGATCCCGCTCTCTCTAACTCCGCATAAGTCTTGACTTCTGGAGGTTGGTTCCCAACTTCGAAGTAAGGATATACAAAATCTTACAAAAGAAGTATCATGCTTAGTTCATTATCAAAAATAGTGTTGATTTGGTTCGAGAAACCTTAGTTATTGTTGAACGTTCCGAAATACTTCATTTCTTGAATATCTGCTTAATTGAGTAAAACAAAGGTTGAAATACAAAAATCCCATATACCTAGTTGAAAGGCAGTGCGCAAAGTATGTATTTTGTGGACTATCATACTCCGCACAGTGTTTCTCGCAAGTTGTCATGGTGATAACGTAGAAAAATGAAAAAGTATCACTTTGCATATTGTTATTGATTCGCGACCTTTGCGTTTTTTGATGTTTGCAGGAAAATAGTTATTTGTTTTACTAGGCACAAAAGTAGTAGATTGACTGTCGCGGTTGAAAGTTCGAAGCCGAGCGTAGCGAGGCTAGGAATTTAGCCAAGGCAGTCAATCTACATTTGCTGCCATGTGAAACATAGCATTTTTTCTCCAAATGATATGAAACCAATTTTGTGAATTTTTTTATTGAAAACTCCATCATTTTGTGTCAGTGTCAACTGATAGCATCAGAATTCCTTGGAACGTTGCATAGCAACAAACTTTTTCTGCCTCGGCAGTAAAAGAACATTTATTCTGCCTGTTAAGCGGCAGAAAAAAGCCACTATTCCTGCTGCTTGAAGAAAAATATATCTCAACTGAATTCTTGATGAGAAAATGATTTTGAATAGAATCATCTAAAAATTAGATTCTGGTTTCGAACAATGGAGGAAGAAAAGTTCAGTACCACAAATATGTGCGCATGCATTATTCTGTACATTGTTTCCTGTTCAGTTGATATGAATAAAACATGATATCACAGAGGGAAGAAGTGATTTGTAGAAAGAAAATGGGTTTATTTTCATTGTGTTCATTTGATCCAAATTGAATTTGGGACAAGCCTCGTTACTGCTAATCAAATAAATCGGATTTGATTGTATAGAATGACAAAATCATTTGAGTGATGAATTGAAATTTTTTGAATTCAGGAATATATTTTTTCAGAAACGTCAAGGAATGACAAGGTTCGTCCATAGATATCAATTAGCGGAGTGACACTATTTGTTCACGACACCATGTGCAGAGCAAATATTTTTTTCACCTTTGTAGAAAAAAAATTGTTTGCAACTCGTACTCAATATATTGTCATCGTCCACCAATATATTGTTAACTCGTTAATCGTTAAGAAATTCAGTTGTCAATAGCCATAGTAGTATTTCGCGCACTGAATGAAAAATATGTATGCTCGACACGAATAAGTTCACTGGACATAAGGATTCAAAATTACTCATTCCATGGATATATTCATTCCGCAAAAATATTCGTGGTTTATTGGAGTACCGTCACCAGAAAAATGCACGAAAAATGATGAAGTACATATATATAGCATTTTTCTGATCGAAATGTCAAATATTATATTTTTCAATAGATCATCAGTTATATTTCTATTCAAAGAAAACTTATGGATATAGAGGCGATGGCCACAAAGATTGAGCTGGCTCGATAATTTGAAGGTCTCGGGATCGAACCTTGCCACGATGATTTTTTTCATGGGGTTTTATATGGAATCGGTCTCATAAATCAAATGAATTTGAATTTTTTATTTCAATGAAAGTTATTTTTATCAACCCAAATCTGAAAATTTCGATGAATATAATTCTTTGCTTCGAATAAATATATCCTATTCCTATTCCTATAAATATATTCAAATATCTCTGTATTCAAATGATCAATTTTTTATTTCAAGATTGATTGAGATAACACCATGTTACAGACACATGTTTTTGACACTCCATTTGTCACTGAGTAATGTCGAAGGATAAAAGCGGCAAGATTCATTCCAAGAATTTTCCTCCATTTCTCTGTTATAAACGAGAGCAGATTCATTTCCAGAATGCCCAGACGAGGTTAGTGAAGATTTGATGTATTTTTTATACTTATATTTCTCGAACATCTTCCGAAAATGAGGTGTCACTGACTATTGATCGAATTTCTCATTCATGGCTATAATACAGTGAACTTCTCAAACGTAGTGGCATTTTGGGGAGAAATATCTGATTCGTGGATACCACACATATTAGAATAATAATCATATTTTTTATAGGAATAAGGAAGGACAATCAAGAAAAAATCTAGAGTAATGAAAATGATGGTACCACCGACTGCTCTTGAAATCTACTAGTAATGAACTAGAACCTGGAATTGTTGATGGCAAAATGGTTCATTATAAATGAGATAAAACGCACTGAACTATCAGGAAAATCATAATATGATGGGTATCAATTGAAAGATATGTTCTTCTTCTGTTTTGGCAAAGCTTCTTTTCCTTCAATGTTCGTAGAATTTTCACTACAAAAGTGAACCAAGTTCAACTTGTTAGAAGGAGGAATGTAAGGAAGCTGATACCATTCCATTTATTGATTTGATGGTAGCCCAGATGGTAGTACTAACACTTGAGTTCCAATTGGTGCAAATGTTCTTGAAGAAGAATTTCAGTTATCAGAATCATTAACGAGCATCTCAAAATCTCTAGATCTCATATCTCCTATATTACATGGAATTGGTTTATTCCGTCTCTGAACTACTTATGTCAACCAATCTAACTGACTTTTGGACCAAGACTTCGACATTTGGTAACAAGTGTTTCCATAGTATCTACGATTTGGCGTGTACTTCCAAACTTGTTCAGAATAAGCCTTTGAGTAGTTGAGCTTTCATCATCATGAGATGTTAGAAAAATTAACAAAATATGTACCTTTCTGAAATTTGGGACTGGTATAGTGTACATCATAGGCAGTTCTCATTTACTCAATCTGATAGGTTTGCGAGTATCAAACGGCAATTCCATCGATCGAAGATCTTCCAATTCGGAAGCAAATTCATAGAATATAATTTTTCATGAGTTGAAGAAAATTGAAATTATCATCTAGTTAAGATAAGACTCAATGTTAAGGCTCAGAAGCCATTCTTATTCTGGCGGACTCCCTTGATCTGTTGTGAACTTCGGCGGTTCTCAAAGTGATTCCAAAAATATCTTCATGATATCTGTTTTCGTCCTGAAAAAGCAACAAAATTATACAACGTCGTCTGGTTTGCCATGAATCTGTGATTTGATGTGATATCCTGGATAACCATTATTCTGCGAACATCTGAATTTTGTATATTGTTCTGCTGTATCAGAAATGGAACAAAAATTACTATTTGTTCACTTAACATACCAGCCCTTAGCTACCAGCTGTCCTCGCTTCGCTCGTGCAGCTAATAGCGTTGGGCTGAAAGAGCTCATGTTCTGCCCTTTTGACACATTATACTACATTATATCACTTCTTGAAAAATGGGCATACTGGGTGACCAAGAGAACCGGGTGGCCCCTGTAACTTTTGAATCGTTCGAGATTGAATTTGGAAACTTGGAGGGTTATTCATATAACATCATATTTCGAAATCACTGATATAATTATGTCTCTCGTGTTACAGCCGGTGTCGCCAAAATTGACCTCAACTTTTGTCTCTTCGATAAATTGTATAGTTTTCATTTCGAACAAATCATATAACTGTGAAACGACACTTAATTATAAGAGAATGGAATGACGCTCGTCTAGGGGTCGAATGATTAGCATCTCAATCAATTTCAATTTTGGATAGTAGTATTACAAAAGCGAAATGATACTCATATCGATGTAATTTTCTTTCATTTTGATAGTGAAATGATTGGCATTTCAGTATTAGGGTGATTTTTTTTCTCCAAAGAAGAAGTGGGTTGGAGATCGTCGAGAAATATCTGAGACATATCTACTTAGTTGATAGAGTTTTACATTGAAACTACAGAACATTTTCGAGACATTACCGATTCATCGTAAAAAAAAAAACAATATAGGTAAAGCCCTGATGCAGTTATATTTCCTGTAGTTCCGCAACAAATCCTATACTTGGGGATCATATAAACAAATACGTGCCTACAATTTCTAGAAGAACTTCCAACCACTTCACTTTTTCGAAAATAGAATCATCATCACACTCTGAGAAGGGTTCACGAGTTTGTGCGGGCTAATATGTCCCCACATATCAGGTATCCGTAGACAACTGACGATTCTGATGAAACAAGTATTCATAAGTGAGTGAACTCATTGTGGCAAACGAGTATGACAAATATGGTGAATGAAAAAGGGATGGAACTTGAATGATACTTGTATAACAGTGAAATAATTCTGTTCCTTCTCAAATCTATAATATAGATCTTCAAAACTAAAATAGGTGTTTCATGTTGTGGTTGAGATGTTTCACTTAGCAGTTATAGGATGTTTTTCAATAGGGATTTTCTTCGGTGTACCAGGTTCCTTGATCTTGTCGATAATATGATTACGATACCTTCATCATGTGGTACTAGATTTATGATTTGATACTGATGTTATTTTTTGTTTGCAGCACTTATCTTTGGATAGTCAATGAAAGGTTTTCAGTAGGCCACTACCTTGATATGCATATAATATTTGCGATTATCATCACTTGAACTGAAATTTTATACTAGAATTTATTTACAATTTGCATCCCTATGAATTGCTGCAAAAAATTATGCCTCAATCAATCAAAACGTCTCGGAGGAAATATCCATGCCAAGCAACTATATTCAGGTACGAAATCCCTCTTTGAGTTGAGTTTGAGATAAGTGTTCGTCCGCTCATCGACTAAACAATTTTCCCTTTCAAAAACTGACCATTCCTATTGTCAGACCCTGATGGTAGTTCTTACCCTTAGCGATAGCATGAAAGCCTGAACCTGACTCTCACTCATGCCACCATATTTCTGAATTATAGTCTTCAGTGTTTGATAAACATGCTCTGCCATAGTGCAATCACCGCACACATAAAAATGCCCATGTTCCATTACAAGAAAGCGGTAGATTTGTGCTCCCTCCTTCAGTGCCAAATTCTGCACGTACGTCTGAAATTAAGAGAATTATATGAAAGATTCATGAAATTAATCACCTCAAATAGTTTTATTGGATATGGTTTGTACTGATTATTTCGGAAACAATCCTACAACAATTCTATCATAACGCAAATTCATCGACTATAATTGCATGACCAAATAATCATATTTTCTGATTGAGTGTACCCCGTCAAAGTGAAAATATTGTTGGTGGTCAAATAATTTGTCAATCCGAATATAGAAGCAAGATGAGCTTTCGGGGCCTTAATAATATTCAATTCTTCTCAAATAGTATCAATATCTTTTTTATTTGTCGACTACCAGTTTTAGTCTTCTCCTGGAGATGCTAACATAGTTAGCGAAACACGTGTCGAGGCGTTTCATAAATCGGTTTGGTTAGTGTTGAAACAGTGTAGTGTACCAGCTTTAGGGTATCTCGATATCGCGTAGAAAGATTCCAACTGCAGATTCTGTGGACAAAAATAGTGAAAAAGTTTATACAAACATGCGCCCAGAAATCGCACCCTCTTCGGGGTTGAAGCCATCTCGGCGAGCCCGAGATGAAAGTTCTTCGTGAATATTCTCGAAACCTCTTTTGATGAAACTAATTGATTTTTTACATGAACCTCACTTCTCATACTCAATTTGATGATTTCGAGAATATTTTGATTCCCATTTTCGATCAGATTTTTCTGGCTCTTCAGCCACTATAAATTTGTTACTGAGTCCAGCACATCACGAAATTTATAGGTTACTCAATGTTATTTCAATAGTACCATTTGTTTTTTCCTGACCCATAACAGGTCTTATTTAGTCTGATGATGGCCGTTGTGCCAGAACCGGTCATTATCTGATGTAATTTGTGATATAGAGTGTGGTAGACCGACTTGGAGTTTCTTCTTTCATTCATTAAGTGAAAATGGTGAAGTTTTTATATTTTCAGGTCAAACTTCCCGAACTTGCATAAACGAAAAAGTTGTGGGAGAAGGTGCTCCTAACCCCTCCTGTTTCCCATGTCCCTGATCAACATTCTGGAATATTCCCATTATTTTTGAATTGAGCTTGAGAAATTCAGTACATGTAAAAACTTTGTATATTTTATCACAAAATGCTCCGAAAATATTCACAAAAAACCATCATCTTGAGCTCTCCTTCAGATAGCTCAAACTCTCTGAGGACTATTGAAAAGCCATTTCTGGACCCATGTTTATATTATAACTTCTTTTATTATTTTTGTTCATAGAATCTGTGTCTCCAGAATCTTTTCATATAACACTTTGTATGAAATAAATCAAACGCTGCATTACAATATTTCCAATGGATACAAACTGAGTAGCTTTTGTAAGCAAAATTTACATTTGACATTTGATCTTGTTGAAATTTTTCTGTAAACAGTGTACCTATAGATCAAGGATATTGTATACTGGGTTTTCCATTCGAAGAAATTGAACTTCTCGACATAACTCGGCGACGCGATGTTCGATTCTTGTTTTTTGTTCAACATTGTTTTCATCGAATAAAATACTACTAGATCGTTTATTCAACTGATTTTGTGGCTCCAATTATAACCAAGTTAGCAATAGTGCAAATATAAACTTGAAAACTCTGTTTGAAACTATATTGGATATTGATATTCGGTGAAATTCAGTTCAACAAAGAACGATGCAATAAATATTTTGTTTCTTACTAGTTGTGAATACAAACCTTCGGTGTACTCGATGCTCTCGATAAGGCTAAAAATACTTTATCTAATACTCCTAACTTCAACATGCTCGCTTTCTCTTCTTTGTACAAGTCCATATCGTCTGTTCTGCAACCGAAGAATAACCACATTTTGCCTAATTTCTGTTTTTGTTTCAACTGCACTTGCCGGTGCTGCCAGAATGCTCTGAATGGGGCAATGCCAGTTCCAGGGCCAACTAGAATCACTGGTCTGGTCGAATCATTGGGAAGATGAAAACTTGGTGCACTAGAATTCGAAAATAGGAAATGGAATCCAAAATAGTTATAATCCAATTGATGTTTTGAGGGGTGTAACATTGTGTTTGCTCAAGTGGTCGTGAACACTAGTGAAATTTTGAATATAGACAATTCCAAAATGGGGTACTCGATGCGAAGGAAGTCAAAATAAGAGGAATATACAGCTGCTTTTCGAATTATTTCTCTCCAGAATATAATGTGTATTCTACATATATTCTTCAATTAGTGATCAAATGACTTTTATGATATAACTTGATATATTGAAGTACCATGTTCAGAATACAGGACAACAGAGTTCGATCTTCCTCTACAGTAACTCTTTCTGCTGATGGGACAGTCAAATAAAAATCCAATGATTTGAAGTAATAAATTTTTGCGAATAATCGAAATGAGAGGTACTAGTGGACTGAGCTACTTCGTGCAGGTTTTGAGGTATTCTTCATCCTAGAAGATGAAATTATAATTGAAACGACTCGAACCGAATCAGGGGACGCAAGGTCATACCCATAACCTCTCAAGAACAGGGGTCCTCAGGATAGGGCGTTTTCACAAATTGGGTGCTAAAGTGACTAGAGTTATATCGACACTTAAACAGAAGAGAGAACGAAAACAAGGTAGACCCATCGTGGGGTAGCTTTGACACAATTCAACGTTCTTCTTTAGTTTTTGAAAGAAACTCTACTTCCGTACCATTTTTATATGGCATTGAGCCATCCAAGAGCGTGTATTGACCGATCCCAACAATAAGGCACCACACGGGTCGATCGGCGACATGGGCGACGCGATTGCAATGACGTCACAATTTCTTCATTCGTACGATTCAAGAGAAGGGAGTGTGTGTCATCCGCATATGGGTCGACGTTTTGTGTAGTCGACTCGCGTCTGATCAAGTTAGTTACTCTCCTTTTTGCAACTTCAAACAGAAAGTTTTCTCTAAAAATGAGCAGTTCCAGTAACGAGGAGAACATAGCCATGTTTTTGTTGCACCGGCAGATCAGGAGAAGAAGAAGACAACGAAGTTATGGGTGCATCCGTACATTGCTCGAAATTTTCACACTCGGATTCTTGTTGCTGCACGTAAAATGCAAGAGAGTGACACAAAATTCTTGGCATTTTATAGAATGTCGAAGGAATCATATATTGATCTAGTGGAAACTCTTGCTCCAGCCATAAATTATGTGGATACAAATATGAGGGAACGTGTCAGCGCAGAAGAACGCATACTAATAACATTGAGGTATAAGATTCTTATATTTCAAAAAATCAAACAGTTCTTAAATTTGAGAGTATGAATTGGAAACATAAGATTATATGTTCAAGTTACTGAAAGTAAAGAGCTCAAGGTAGGTAACACAAATAATCACAATGATTGAACAACTTTCTCCATTGAGACGCACGATTCACTCGATCAAACTGCTTCCTTGCTAATCGCATGCGACTGAAAACGAGGAGATCTTAAATCGTACGTTTTTAGACGACCACTGAACGACCCGTGTGCGGGATCCAAATGCTTTGCTTAGGAAGTCGAGTAGAGGGGAGACAGTCGTACGATTCGAATCGCGTCGCCCATGTCGCCGATCGACCCGTGTGCGGAGGGCCTAACTCTTCGCGACTAAATATAAAAATAGCGGACACCCCTTGTTATATATATAATCGAGTGAATTTTATCCCTAATTCTGGAAATGCAATTTTGAATCGTTTTTATCACACTTCGATTTGGTATTCGAAAATTCAGCAGAATTAATTTTTGGAAATACCACTCACCATTCCGCTGTTTTCTGATTCATATCTAAAGACACTATACCTTTGATAAAGATTTTAACAGCTCTGATTCGAAAATCTTATATTCTCGTGAATGAGATAAATTACTACGTCGCACTTAGGCACGGTTGCTAATCAATCTTGAACACGGTTCAACATGAAAATCCAACTCAAAGGTTTCTGTAGAAGTCGATCTACCATCACAATATTATTGGGTTCATTCTAGGAGACGAACATATAGACTCAACCAAAGCCTTCGGTAAAGTCTACCATACTTCATCATGAAAGATATTTCACATATAGTTGATTTTATCCTATTTTGATGGTATAGGGATCAATATAGAACATGGAAATTCAGATTCAATCAATTTTTTACTATCCAATCGCTTCGTAAATGATCCAACAGAAGTTATCAAGAGCATTTCCCATCTTTTATTTGCTGATGATATCAAGATGATAGAAACAGTTGAAACCATTCCTGATTCTGAGAGTTCATAGCTGGATCTTAACTTTCATGAATGGAGAAATATTTATTGTCTTTAACCAAACTTGAGCCGATGGCATGAATCAAGTCAATTTATCATCAGAGACTAGGAACGCACGATGTTCTTTGAACATTATAGGGATTCCCTTTCGTGCGCTCCAAGCGATAAAGAAAAATCAGTGATTTGGTAGTTATACAGGGTGTTTCATTGGGAAAGGTAAATAATTCAACTGTGGATAGGGGTCACTGGGGTAATTTAATAAAACCCATGGCTGATGGGTCTTCGACTTCTTATAACCGAGATACAGGATGTTTCATCAATTTTGTCCATATCTTCATTGTCTCATAACTTTCCAACCAACCTGTATATATTTTTAAAAATTGGTACACTTGCTGAATCTATCCTGTGGAATTGATTGAGGCAACAACAAAAGTTGAAATCCAGGTCCGGCTTCACTTAAAATTCACAAATCCTTCCTGCCAGAAAACAACACCCTAAACATTCGAATTTCTCATTTTTTTTGCCATATCTGAAAAGAAAATCAAGATTGCTATTCAACGATGTGCTTTTTATTCGTGCACAGACGATTTTAACTATTCATATTATGTGCTCAAAATATTATTTTTGCTCATTTTGGGGTACAAAGTACAAAATTGGAATCAGACGAGATTTATTAATTTTATCACTTTCTGTTCAGTATACGTAAGTATTACATTTAGAAGGAGTATTTTATATCGTTCTTTGTTCCAGACTTAGTGGCAGGTCCGTCATCAAAACAATACAGGGCTTTTCACGATAAGCGTTAATTAGATGTTTCTGGCAAACCAGGATGAATTTACAAATTCGAAGGTATGTATAAATTGACATGATCTACATATCTGAAATATTCGAAACAATCCGGCGTTGCCGCTTCTACTCGAAAGTAGCAGTAACTTTTATTTTTCAAATAGGACACCCTGGATGCTTCCTGCAGAGCTGATTTAATCGATCAACAAAGTTCGGAGTCTAGTGGGAATAATAACTGAGATATTTCGAGTAGGAAAAATCGAGATGTTTCAACTTTGGAATTATTTTGCGAAAATATGTATTATTGATCAAAACGGCTTTTATGTCCCTATCTTAACTTTGTATCTATTGACATTTCATCGAAACAAATACAGGATGGTTCATAATTCAGATTTCTGCACCTGTATCTGTTTCAATTGAATATCGAATGAAAAGTTGAGATAGGGACATTGAAGCCGTTTTGACCATGCAATAATGAATAGTTTCAACACAAAACATTTCTAAAGTTGAAACATCTCGATTTTCCACATCCTATATCTCAGTTATCAGTCCCGCTAGACCTTGGATGTTTTGAATCGATGAATTCTGCTGTTCAGCAAGAATCCAAGAATGTAATGAAATACAGGGTGTCCCATTTGAAGAATCGAAGTTGCTGCTACTTTCTACTAGAAGCGGCAAGGCCGGATCTTTTCAAATATTTCAGTAGTGTAGATTATGTTAATTTATACATAACATCGAAATTTCAGATTTATTCGTTGCCTGGTTTGCCAGAATCATCTGATTAACGCTTATCGTGAAAAGCCCTGTATAGTTCTGATGACGGACCTGCAACTAAGTCTGGAACAAAGAACGATATGAAATACTCCTTCTAAAAGTAATACTCACGTATACGGAATAGGAAGTAATAAAATCAATAAATCTCGTCTGATTCCAATTTTGTACCCCAAAATGAGCAAAAATAATATTTCGAGCACATAATATGAATAGTTAAAATCGTCTGTGCACGAATAAGAGGCACATCGTTGAATAAAAATTTTGATGTTCTCTTCAGATATGGCAAGAAAAATGGGAAATTCGAATGTATAGGGTGTTGTTTTCTGGCAGAAAGGATTTGTGAATTTCAAGTGAAGCTGGACCTTGATTTTATCTTTTGTTGTTCCTCAATCAATTCCACAGGATAGATCGAGCAAGTGTACCAATTTTTAAAAATATAAACAGGTTGGTTGGAACGTTATGAGACAATGAAGATATGGACAAAATTGATTAAACATCCTGTATCTCGGTTATAAGAAGTCGAAGACTCATCAACCATGGGTTTTTTGAAATCACCCCAGTGACCCCTATCCACAGTTGAATAATTTACCTTTCCCAATGAAACACCCTGTATATTGACTCAAAAATGACCCCATGAAACGGTCGTTATACCATAAAGTTGAAATCGATCTCTTCAAAGGTTCAGAAGAGAAATTCCTCATTCTTCCTCATTTTCGCTCATTTTGATTGAATCCTACTCACTCTTTTTCGGAATGCATAGCAACAGTCAACCTCATATACGATAGCTGAATATGTCAATGGAATAACATCATGGTGATGAATGGTTCCATTTGAAATTAAATAGTTTTTGTAGTCAATAAGTGATTCATTTCAAGGGATAACCAAATAACAGGTTGAATGTCTGATGTTGTCACTTGGTAAGTAGTTATATTTATTTCGTAGAGGAATTCAACGTGGTTTATGGATGATTATGATCATGATGTACACCTCACTTCAATGGATATTGTGGATGACTTCAAAAACAATAAACTGATGAACATTCAACTTTTCCGTGACCTGATGATGATTCAATATATCTGTCGTATCTGAATTTTTTAGCCATATACATATTATTTCAAAATGGGTTATTTTATTCGACAAAGAGATCGAAGTATTCTTCAATGACCACTAGAGATATAGTAACTCACCTTCTCACAAACAGTGGCACTTCAGAATCCACAGGAACATCTTGTAAATAATTGGAGCATACACCGTAATGTGTTTCGCCATCACCATCTACAAAAAAGAGGATATGTTGCTATAAGAATGCGTGCAACATATGAATTGGAATGATGGAATATAATATCCTCCTCTCTTCGAAGTCTACATCAAGCAAGACCACATCATTCGATATTGTGATTTCCAAAATCTCAAGGCATTCGCCTTACATTGAGGTGATCACATTTTGCTCTGAGTTCAAGAATTTATAATGTACCATCACATTCGTTTCATTCTCATAAATGTTTATATTCCTCTTAGACGATCAGTTATTTTCAGATAGGTGATTTTAATATAGAAAATATTGGCAAATTCCAAAAAACTTTATTATGTACACTCACTTTGATACTGCTAATTACCAGAACCGATTTCACTAGCAATATACATAGTATACGTTTATAGTACGAAGATTCAGTGTTTTCTTGAAAAGCCATTATGAAATTTGGTATCAAAAGTACAGGATCATCTCTACTAACAGAAAGGAATTCTGAGCAACCCAGCAAAGATCCAAGAGGATCGGCTAAGAAAAACGAGGAGAAGAGAGAAGGAAGATTTTCATATATTCCTTCATGAGTTTCTGGTATTCCTCATCGAATAATTAAGTTTCTTGATCTGTGTGTGGGTTTTCAGGACACTGCACTTTGAAACTCAACGATGAAGTTTGTAATACATAAAAATGAACCTGGTGTATCAATCGATGGACTGAAAGTTAATACTGAATGAATTGGGTTATCAATCGATGCAAGAGGCCCAGAAGTATCTATTCTTCAATTCTTTGGAATATTTATGCTGAATTCAGTTGAAAATATGATCACCCCATCGTTACTTTTGTGCAGTAGTTATTTACTCATCTGTTCAGGTATTAATAAGTAGGTATGTTTTTGAATAATTATATAGAAATCTTGAATTATCAAGAACTTTCACTCGAAATATTGGAATGTTTGAGGGTTATACTGTTTTATCGAGAGGATTAAAAGTTTATAGTTCATGTCATGATGTTCAATTCACCTGAACCAAGTCCCGAAGATGCCAGTGATTTTCTTGTGAATGTTCTAAAAGTTATCAATGCTACCATTTTTTTTTTCATTATCACGTTACTACAACAAACACATATTCATTCATTATGCAGGAACATGATTCACTTGTTTTCGACAAATCGAGTGAGTGGTAGGTTTTTGACTAATACGATAGAATATGATCGAACCACCAATTAGGGGATTGAAGGAATTACAGTAAAATATATCAGAGCGATACAGTATCTTCACAGTGACATATTCGCAAGTATGTTGGAAATTCTTCTGATTTGGACCATTTCTTTTGTTGGCTATCTTCCTATACAAATTGCTATGATTGCAGGAAATTATGAAGTGACTTTGAAACATCTGTTCAACACCTTATTATCACTTCTCAATGAAACCCTTGTTGGAGAGTGTGTGTCATTAGGACCTATCACATATTCAAATTACTTTCCTGAAAAAAAAAATGCGTTCACTCTATATGCTCTAGTGAAGTTCCTGCTATCTACGTACTTTTCTCAAACTTGCCCCTATCATAATTGAAAAAGATCTATTGAAAGTATAGGATACACTATGCATTACATTATCGCAATGAAAAATGTATTCTCCGTTTCCACTTACCCTGCACTGCTCAAATTTTTTTCATTTCATTAAAAGTTATTTATGCAACAAGTGCAAAAAGTGAATGTTTATTGCATTCGACGTGAAATTGTCCGACGAGGCCGTTAGGCCGAGTTGGACAACACGTCGAGTGCAATAAACAATTTTTGCACGAGTTGCATACAACATTTTTTCTACGTTCATGCAAAAAGCAAAAAATGATTTATTGAGGTGCGGCACTAGGTACAATTCTGTTAATTGTCAGAATTAATTTTTGACTGACGTTTCTATAACCACAGTTGCATTATAGAAAATGTTTGTCATGATGACAGCACGTTGAAGTAGAATGACAAATGAGTGCAATTAAAACTTTATTGCACTAAGTGCAATAAAGAACTTCTTTTTCCACTAAATATAGTTCAATAAAGTTCTGTTTTTTGCATGAATGTAGAAAAAAAAAACAAAATGATCGATGAGATTCTGTAATAAAATATCTGGGTCTCTCTGATGAAAGTTGTTTGGACAATTGTCATCACCTACTTATTGTGAGTCCTATCTATCAAACCGAACACAAATTGTTATAACCGATAATGCTAGATCTGACCCTCGTCAATCCACTTTGGGTGTGCCACAGGAATCGATACTTGCCCCATTATTTTTTACCATCTTTGTCAGTGATATTACTGAATTTTGTTCAGCTACCGAAAAAATTATTCAATATGCTGATGATACTAATATTCTCATGTCAAATAATGAAATTGAACAACTCATGCAGAACAGTAACAAGGCATCCTATGGATTTGATCGGTACTGCAAAGAAAATGGACTAACACTAAATGTGACAAAAACTCATTTCATGCGTTTTCTGCCAAAAAATTTTACACCTGATTATGAACCGTATTTACACATAAACAAGAAATCCATTGAGAGTATTGAAACTATCAAATTCTTGGGAATTACATTAGATCCAAAGCTCACTTGGGAAGCGCATATGAATATTGTAACTACAAAATTCAAGTACTCATTGTTATATGATGAGAAATCTCAAAGAAACTGTATTATTTCACATATTGAAACTTCTTTATTATGGACTAGTGCAGTCAATCCTCCAATATGGTTCAATATTTAGGGGTGCTTTAGCTCACTTCGATAGAGCTTTTGTAGCTCAGAAGAAATTCTTGAGAGCTATGTATAATGTGTCACCAATAACATCATGTTAACCACTTTTTAAAAAATCAGAGATTCTGACGTTACCTAGTCTCTTTATTTTTCACTTGATACTGTATGTCAAAGGAAATGAGGTAGCTTTCGACAAAAATGAAGATATACATTCATATAACACAAGACAAAAATCAAATATCCATCAACCATTATCACGGCTATACATAGGTCAGCAGTCACCAAAGCACATTGGAATTAAGTGTTTCAATAAGATCAGTAACATAATGGATAATATGATGAATGTAAACTCAAATAATGTAAGAAACTTCAGGCAGAAGGTCCACTCATTTTCAAATTCTAATGCATTTTATAGTGTTGAGGAATTTCTCAAATTAGAAAAAAAATTTGTGTGTACCTATTAATATCAATTATTGTCCTATTTAATGATGTTCCTTTTAGATATAATTATTATTCTATAGCATGTCATTGTCCGTTGTTTGTCCATTTTGTTTTTTGTGAACTGACTAGACTGATAGGATGGTGCATGGTACTATATCTTTGTCACATGTGTAATGAATAGTCCTCATAGATAAATAAAATTCTTTATTTCCTCTTTTCTTTCTTGAACAACCAATAGCTATTCAACCTCTCATTTTTTATAATAAATCCAGCATGCATATGCATGATAGTTCTCCGAAGAATCTATCGAATATCGTCAAGAAAACTCCCAGAGATACCCAGATATTTCCATTCAGAAACTAATCGTATCTTTTCTTAAAAACAAAATACATATTGGATCATGAGAAGTGAAGGTAGAGAATATTTATTTCAATTGCAGTAATTCAAGGCACAGTTCCCTCCTCCTCAATTCGATAAGGTACTACGTTGAACCATATATCATCGAATAATGCTGATTAGATTACCTAAATTCACCACTGTTTGATGAATATACTAGTGTGAAAAATTATTGGGATTACTGTTGAAAATGATCTATACTACAATAGCACATCAAGATGTCAAGTTCCATTCAGATATCAGATAACTATATAAAATGAGATGAGAAGAACTAGGATGACCATTCCAGAAATGATAACAGGCTGTTTCATGATGATAGTCTTGTGTTATCATAGAAACTATAGAATGAAAGGCAGTTATTCAGCAGCGGTGTTCATACAAGTTTGCAAATTGAATTATGCTGCCATAACTACAAGCCACCTGAAAATTCACTTCATCTATGGAAGTGAATGAACACATCTGTCCCCTATCCATTGCGGATGAAAAAGGGTATCAGATTCCTAATCATGATCACCCAAGTTTTTTCTCAGTGCACAAGTCCAATTCCAAATAACGCCAATCATTCAAACTCCTAACAGCCTCGTCTATCGACGGCCAATTCCCGAGGCACCTATCCATTCCAGGTCGAATTTCAACCATCAACCTCTCAGTAATTTCTTCAGTTACTAATCTTTCCATCAATCAACAAAATCCATTGAAATTCCTAATAGACACTGGCGGAGTAACACAATCTCACTTGAAACAAGTAACTAAATGTTATGACAGTCCAATGATACGTAGGGGTATAGATATGAATATTTTCTTCGTACGACTCAAAACCAATCAGAACGTGGGTGAAGCTATCCTTCATCATTTCGGATATAAGTGAATATACATAGAAGAACTCCGCTAATCAGAAATGCAGAATTATTTCTATAGTAACCAATTCATATTATTACATACAAACAAAGCGCGTTGTAAAATGTTGAAGTTCGTTTGAAACTACTCAAAAACCAATCGCATCGAAAACAATTCGAAAGTATTTCATTTGTCAAGCTGACACTCTTTGTAATTATGCAACAAATTAAAGATGCATATCTTGAAGTACGCATAGTATTATAAATTGAATATATAACATCCACAAAAAACATTGTTCTATTGCAAATTCGGCTCAAACAATCAAATCCACTGCCGGTTGAAATAATTTGCGAATGATTTCTGAATAATACATTTTACGTTGTAAACGAAGACTTCTCTATTCACTTCGATGAAATCATTATCTTAATTCAAGTGCACCATAGCATACCAAAATAGAACTATAAATTTTGAAAATCCCTACATCGGAATAAATCACGAACTCCCATATGGAATAACAGAACTCCAGAAACACATGAATTAACTTCTTTTCAAGTCCTGAAATGATGAAAACTTTGCCCAATTGAAAAAAATCGCATTCTGACTCCCAAT